GAATGAGAATGGTATTGACTGAGCTGGGCTTCGAAGTTTCTTGCTATTGCTCTTTAGCTTCGTGAATTCAATTATTTCAGCACATTTCCATGTCTTCAGAATCACTATCAGACCACAGGTTCATGATGCTTGTACGTGAAAATGTGTAGCGGTATTTGAATGGAGAGCATTATAGACTATACATATTCATTACAAGTACTTGAAATTGGTATGTGGGAGGGGAATTTGATGAGAGTGACGGTCAAGGATCCATCACATCATGACTTGCACTATCCTTTGTCTCCATCGCCAGCTTCCTGCGAAACCGTAATCTAAAACCACACCCACCTCCGGGACAGGAACTGAGCCATGACCGTCGTGACACATTCAGTTTTTGGCCCTGTCCAAAAGGATGAGCTACAAGCCAAGCTCTGCATAGTCACTTCAGCAGAGTGGGGTTGGGTCTGTGGTCAAGGTCAGAATGAGTACTGCCGAAGAGCAGCGTGGACCTCAGCGTTAGGGAACATCATCGCTGGAGAGTCTCGGTTGGTAGGATGATATGGAGTGTCGTAATTCATGTGATAAAGAGAAAAATCACATTCTGCTCGTTGAAAGATTGCATTTGGTAGGTAGTGAGATTTCAAAACAATAGTGTCGGTTCTGGTTGGCCTCCCTATCGTCGCGAAAATCATAGATAGGCACACTGAACAAACCCTCCTCGCTCTATAGGTCCCAAGGTTGAAAGCGCTGTAAATACCACAACCCCTATCCCGTGGCTCGCCAAAAATCGTAATTACAATTGTAACAGAACGGCAGTAACTCACCTTAAGCACATCCGTCTCCATGTGAACATAAAGTGCATACGTAGCAGCGCATCCTCCATCCCTTGCATGTGAAGCTTACATGCATTTTCCGCGAGCAGTTGCCGCGCTCTAGCGCCAATTGTCCTACTGTAGCGGGGCAGTGATGACAGCGTCCTTTAAACTCCATTTTGAAGCATCAAGTTAAGCTCTTTTGTGTTTTACTCACTGTTTGTTGGGATTGCTTTCTATTTTTCTTTGTAATACGAGGTATTATCCCAGTTGTCATGGGAGGTGGTACTCGTAAAGCATGAGTGCAATTCTTATCTGTTAAGTATCCAATTGTTTTTGTCGTATCATTTGCAATTCACTCAGTTTGGTTGCAGTTCATTTTGCTGTGAGACTTACTACGTTGTAGGATGGTGGAGTCGACAGGTCCTACGGTTGTTGCACCTGCTGAGGACGAGAAATCCCGTGCCCTTACAAACTATAGGAAGAAACTGGTGGAGTACCGAGACATTGAGCAGCAGCTGAAGCAACTGCGAAAGAAGGTTTGTCCAGACTAGATTAATCAGCGTTTCGAGATTTGGTCATTGAAATGGAGTACGTAAGCACACGAGCACGTAGGCTTGAATAATACAATTTTCATACGATTTTATATAGTATCCTAATGGCTGTAATCCTTTATACATTTTTTCTCTCCTCAGCTTAAGCCAAGTGTTCAGGAAGCCGAGACACAGAAAAGTTTCGACAAATCCGAAAATGATATCAAGTCGCTGCAATCAGTGGGTCAGATCGTGGGCGAGGTGCTCAAACAGCTCACCGAGGAGAAATTCATCGTTAAGGTGAGCTTGCCCTCTCATGTCCGCTTTTCGATTACTTTGTCTCCCACAATTTTTATACCTTCAGGCCACTAATGGACCCAGATACGTGGTTGGCTGTCGCCGTTCAATCAACAAAGAAGCCCTCAAGCAGGGTACTCGTGTAGCTCTTGATATGACCACACTCACTATCATGTTAGTTTTTCTTTCTTGTAAACGTAATTTTTCATTCTTGTAGCGCGTTCATACTTCGCGATCCGTTCGAGTGATTCGATCGATAAGTATCGCGAAGTATGAACGCGCTATTGTCATCGATACAACACATTATCTTACGACGTGGCATGTTTCATTTCAATACCTTCATTTACTATGGATATGTTTGACCCTCCTCTCGTAAGACCAGAATCGCAATTGTACAACTTCCTCTGGTACCTTGAAGGTATATTAAGTCAGCCCGTAGGAAAATTTTCCTGTGCGTACGCTGAGGTTTGGTAGTGACCGCATGTGGAGTAAATATAAGATTTTGGACAGCAGACTCAATAGGCGGTTGCTTAGATATAATGCCTATTTGGAAAAGAAGGTTGTCGAGTCAGGGGACTCCACAAAGTTATTCACATACATTAATAAACGTAATGCGACCAGAACAGCGCTGCCTTGCGTACCAGTCAGTCAAAAATCGTTGCATAGGCTGGGTGATGGAGAAAAGGCGGGGAGATGATTGAGCATAAGCGGATTTCAAGAATCCGCGATAAGAGTAGGACGTGATGTGTTTCTCGTTCATAAGTGCGCTCTCCGCTGGTGGATTCTACGTATGGGTCAGGATCTTAGGCTTTCACATGAGATTGAGATCTTCGACTTGCGTTCAAAGAATGCCCTAAACTCCCATTCGGTAACACCTGACTTTATTCCCCTTCATCTCATCAAAAGGACTGCGCATTGTCTTGCTTTACCTTTGGAACTACTCTTTAATTTGTCATATATGAGATCGGAGGTCCCATCAAGGTGGAGACACTCTTTCATTGTTCCAGTTCCGAAAAAGCCTCCCTTCAGCAATCCTTCCAACTATCGGCCCATAAGTGTCACTTCTGTTTTTGCACGACTTTTTGAAAAAATAGTCAAAGGAAAAGTGACTACTTATTTGAACCGAAAACAGTCTTATTCCCATAAATCAGCACGGTTTCTCAACGGGTAAATCAACAGAAACCGCGGTTGTAGGGCGTTACCTTCTTTCAACGTGACTGGACCAGCGCACTTGATACCAGAAAGCCTATTACATGTGCGGGGTGATATTTTCGACTTTTGCAGAGAAGCGTTGGTCGATCGGGTACCACACCGCAAACTCACTGCTAAGTTAGAATCGCTCGGGATTTATCCTCTCATAGTACGCTGGATTGAATCGTTCCTTTGCAATCGTACATACCAATAAAAAAAAAAAAAAGCACTCTGTTGCGAATTGGGAATAGCTTTTCTTCAAAGTATTCGATCACTAGTGGCGTCCCTCAGGGTGGAGTCTTATCACCTTTACTGTTTATTGCTTACACGGCCTGCCTCCCTACCTCCTTGTCCAGATTTGGGGTCAAATGCTTAATGTATGCCGATGATATCAAACTGTACAAAGTTATGGAAAGTGCGTCTGACTGCGAGGACCTGCAGAGAGCTATTGATCATATTGTATGTTGGTCCGAGAATTGGGGATTACCCTTAGCTCCCGATAAAACCAAAGTTTTAAGAATCGGTAGTGAACGTTTCAGTCGTAGCTACAAAATTGGATCAGTAACTTTAGAGTCAGTTCAAGAGATAAAGGATCTAGGTTTCATCTTCTCCAACAAACTTGGATTTGAAACACATTATAAGACATTGGTTTCCAAGGCTAACAACAGAATTTATACTCTCTTCAAAGCACTGAATTCGAAAAATCCCAAGATATTGCTGCAGGCCTATAAATCCTATGTTAGACCTGTAGTGGAACATGGAACTTCAGTATTCTCGCCATATAAAAAAAAGGATATTAAGCTCTTGGAAAGTGTCCAGAATAGCTTTACTCGTAAACTTGCGCTGCGATGTTCCGGAATAAGTTATGATTCTCTCCCAAGCGCAGTAGAAAGACGGCGTCTTTACGGGCTACCCAGTCTACTCAATAGAAGATTGATCAATGACCTCATGATGGCTTTCAAGATCCTCACTGGTAGAGCAACGGTCAAATCGGATGAATTCTTTACTTTAGTCACCTCTAGGAGTAGAGGGAGCACTATCAAGATCAGGGCCCCTGTATCGAGAACGCAAGTCAGGTCTAAATTCTTTGTGATCAGGGTGCTTCACTTATTGAACAAAATTTTTGGCCCAGATATTTTCCAAATGACACCTGGAGCCTTTCGTATAAGGGCCACCAGGCTAGTTAATTCAGAGGTCTCCTAAGTTCTCACATTTATGGGATTTGTCTTACTCCAGTTGATGTACTTGCCGATTGTGATTGTACAATTATGTAGCGCAGTTTCACTGCGTCCACAAATAAATAAATAAATAAATAAATAAATGTTTCTTGTTTGTTGTAATGTCTTAATTGCTTGTGTGTCGATATTGATACGTTCCACCATATTTGGTGACTAGCATTTCGCGCCTAATCATGAGTCTTCAGAGACCTATGCCAACCCTCAGCGCACGGAAAAGGGTCCGCTGACGTTGAGCGTTACCTGGTGTGGACCTTATATCACACAAAACTAGCCAAGCGCTTGATATATGGCGACTCTTTCCGGCTTTGCAAAGGGATTCGTCTTCTGTTCTCTGAAGAAGCCGAGCAGATGAGCCACCAATCTACCGGTAAGAACCTTGCAAGGCACGAACAAGTAACGCGAACTGCAGGTTTGCTTATTCCCGAACAGCTTGGTAACTGCTATGAAACTGTAGTAAATACACTATTTAAAGGCGTCAGCTGCTCGAGAAGTGGACCCCTTGGTTTACAAGATGTCGCACGAGGATCCTGGTAACATCACTTATGCTGATGTCGGTGGCCTTGCAGAGCAGATTCGTGAACTTCGAGAGGTTGGACATATCTTCATTGCTGTATAACTGATCCGCCTTCGCTTCTGACTATTCAACTCTGAAGTCCTAATTTTTGCTGGAGCTTCACCTATATTTGTTCCAGTACTTTGTTCGCAGAAATAATCGTGCTTCGGACGGTGGTACCGATTGTTCGCTGCGTTCTTTCCATCTAGACTTTTCAAGAACTTAGCAATAAAATCACAGGTTACTCCCGCGCGAACATGACATTCATTTTCAATGCCAAAAATGAATGACACATTCTTAAGGGGGATCGGTCAGTACGGATACCACCATTTCACACACCCTGATGTTGACCCTCCGCCTCCCCTCAGTTTAGCAACTTAGCAGATTTAGCCTTTGGAAACTCCTTTTGTTTTGGTGCCTTATCATGCTGGTGCCGAAGAGAGGACCATATTCGTGAGCGGGGTCAAGCAGTCTGTGCATGTAAGCTCACAATGGTTTGTGTGAAAATATAGCGTCGCCAAAATGGGTGCCTTATGTGAGTAGAGCAGCAAACCTCGGAACGATTCCACCGAAAACTTGGTTGCTATCCTCCTCTGAAAAAGAATACTTTGCAGGGGTTTTGTTTTTGTTTGCACTGCACACACTGCTCTTTCATTCATAGAATTTCGTATCCGGAATGGTCGCGTTAAAGTAGTTGAAGCTAATGAAAAATTACAAATATGTTATAGATATACAGCCTTTCCGCTGTGCTGAAGTGTCAGAATTTCAGTCTTGCTGTTCAGGTTGTCGAGCTGCCACTGATCAATCCAGAGTTGTTCCGACGTGTCGGCATTACTCCTCCGAAAGGATGTCTACTGTATGGACCTCCTGGAACGGGCAAAACGCTCCTTGCAAGGTGCGTTGATCTTTTCCTTGAAGTTTCGTGTGGTAATTTCATAGTTTTAACTAGCTTTCAGTTTTGTCCTCTAAATTTTAATTTTGCTCTGGTTCCAGAGCTGTAGCGTCACAGTTGGATTGTAATTTCTTGAAAGTAGTCTCTTCTGCAATTGTTGACAAATATATCGGCGAGTCTGCTCGAATGATTCGTGAAATGTTCAATTATGCTCGCGATCATCAACCCTGCATCGTATTCATGGACGAAATTGATGCTATTGGTAAGTTCATGACTTACACACTTTGCCTGTGATAGTGTATAG